CGTCAGCATTTTGTGCTCCCCGCCCCCTATCCCCCCAGTGGTCCAATCCTGCTCCTGCCCCAGTATGTATGATTCCGCAGGCCTCTGTGAATGCTGGGGGCAGTGGCGGTAAGCTGGGAACACAGAAACGCTCACATGAGAAGAAAGCGGATAAGGGGATGATTGGCTGCATAATTGAACATCCAAGGGGGCAAGGGCTGGCATGAACACCAGCCACGGGTGACACAAATCACAGGAAGCAGATTACCAGGATGGGCAATTAAAAAAAAATGTAAAACATTTTCGCTCCAGAAGAGTTTCAAGAAAGCACTGCTTCTGGTTTTGCGCTAGCGCCGCTGATTCTCTCAGGCGTTGTCTTGAAGCCAATGCCGAAACGGCACAGGCCATCAGTCCGACCCGCCAGATTATGTCCCCAAGATTGGGTACAGCTTGCAAATTAAAAACTGGGCCACTCCTCTGTTGGTCAAGGACACGTGGAATTCAGAAAAAAACGATGGCAGGCTCGAAGAGACGAGAACTTCGAGAAGTCATCTCTTCAGATCTTAATCGGTTGTGGGATGCTAATCAGAGAATTCCGTCAGTGAAAATGGCCAGCCTCACATGGCTTCAATCACACAGGGCTGTACCCATGGCAAAGTGGTTAAAAGAAAAGAACATGCCCGTACAGACCAAGTGTGCACGATGTAAGAAAGAACCGGAATCTGCAGTTCATTTGTGGTGGGGATGTATTGAATCCCGTAGAATCTGGAGATGGTGGGAATCACACTGGGTTAACTTCTCCAAATGCAAGATTGAATGGGACGAGAGATTTATCATTATGGTATTCTACCAGCTAAGATATCATACAAAAGAGGCTGGGGGTATGTAGCCATGGCGGCTCGTGCTGCAATTATGAATGTAATTTGGAGACTAAGGAATGACAGGCTCTTCAAGAGGAAATTTTACTCAGATCTTTCGACCCTCCAATGGATACTGGAACATATCAGGAGATGATATGGGCGGATTGGAATAGGAGTAGAAGTAGAAATAGATACAAATGTTTTTTTGGAACATGGGGTATAGAAGGGAGACTAGTGTATAGAAGGAGGGACAGATGTATCTTACTCACACCGTGGCTGCTTGGCCCAAGACCTCCGTGAAGGGCTCCTAGCTCAGACAGCAGCATGTTACATCATGAGGAGTGTTGCCCCTGCTTCATGCTCATAGTTGATACAAACATTAGATTGAACGAATTTGTTCATGTGTTATCTGGCGCCCCGAGATGGGTGAAGAGGCCTGAGAGCTGTGCAGTTATTTAACTTTTATGTCAATTGGTTAAAAAAAAAAAAAAAATGTACTGCAAGAGGGATTTCCCGTACCGTTTTAAAAAAAAACGAATTTCGGGAAAAAAAATTCCGGATTTCTAAATAACGGGAAATTGCAAAAGGAAATCAAAATTTTCGAAAAGAAATATGTCGGATTTTCCAACAACGAAATTTCGAATTTTCAGACGAAAAACAAAAACGGAAATTTCAGATGTCGCGCTATTGCGATTTTCCACAGCAGAAATTGCGAGAAAACAAAATCCAAGGAAAAAAAAAAAACCGATTTTCGGAAGTGAGGTCAAAATCGTGATTTTGGGAGCTAACTAGTGTGCTCTAATCAATCAATCAATACTAATCAGCTACTTAGTCCCCGCACACGTGTCAGATCAGGTTGTCCTGATTCGGTGTTCCGATACCAACTGTTACATGCCCAGTTGGGCGATGTACATAATAACCGAGGAT